CTGTGGTTTAGATAAGTGTTCCCCCAAAGACCCATATGTTAAAGGCTTGGTCCCTAGGGCAGCACCATTTAGGAGGTGGAGCTTATTGGGAGGTCCATAGGCCACTGGTGACATGTCCTTGTTGGGAATTGTTGGGGCCCAGGCTGCTGCTGCTTTCTTTTGGTTTCCTGCAGTGAGATGAGCATTTTGCTCCACCACATGCTCCCTGCCATTGCCATWTGGCACCCATATTAGAGGCCCAGAAGTGAAGAGTTTGCCTGATTTTAGGTCGGAAACTCCAGAACTGTGAAATGAAGTAAATCTTTGCACTTGATAAGTTAATGTTATGGTTTAGATCTGTAATGTTCTCCCAAGGCTCGTGTATTGAAGGCTTGGTCCCTGGTGCAGCATTGTCCAGAGGTGGGGCTTTTGGGAAGTGATTAGATTGTGAGGCCTCTGACCTCATCAGTGGATTAATCATTGGTAACTGCATGGACTACGTAAGGTGGTGGAAACTGGGCACATGGAACATGATTGGACCAAGAGGTCACTGGGGTCTGTGTCCTCTACCACTATATCATGTCCCTGCTGCCCCTCCCCACTTCCCTTCTTCCCTGCTGTTGTGAGCTGAGCAGCTTTCCTCTGCCACACCCTTCTGCTGTGATGTTCTGCCTCACTTCAGAGTAATGGATCCAGCCAACTGTGGACGAAAACCCCCGAAACCATGACAAAAACAATGACTAACATAGTTAATTAACACAAGTACTTTATTATAGTGACAGAAAGCTAACACAAGAAACTAAATGAGATTAACTAACTTGCTGAGAGATGCAACTGTACATCGTGGAGTTACGAATGCGCCTTGAGATTTGACTACAGTCTATGTCTTAACACAGTTTTTTCCTTTTTTTTTTTTTTTTTTTTTGGTACCAGGAATTGAACCCAGGGGCATTTAACCACTGAGTTACGCCCCCAGAACTTTTTTAGTTTGAGACAGGTTCTCACTAAGTTACTTAGGGCCTTGCTACGTTGCTGAGGTTGCCTGGGACTTGTGATCTTTCTGCCTCAGACTCCCAAGTTGCTGAGATTATAGGCATGTGCTTGCTCTGTATTCTTAACATCATCCCTATCTAGCATACAGAATAACACTTGGTAAACACATTTTTTATATTTGCTGAATTGAATGTATTAGGTCAGAATTCATTTATGTAGTATTTACTTATTTAATTTTGTATTACTTTGTACTATAAATGAAGACTAGCTTTCTTCATTGCTTGACTCATAGTTTGTTAAATGTGGCTAACAATTGAGAATTTTAAGTTGAAGATAAAGCATTTTCTTCGATATTTTATAAAATGAATTTTACTTTTATAAACTCATATAGTCCCTAATATCCCAAAATTTATTATAAAAATGAAATATTACTTATTAAAGTTATGATGAAAATGTTCTGAAGGATGCTTTTTTCCTTACAGGCTGGATTGCCTGAATCTTATACAAGTATGACTCTGGGACCATTTAAACTATAACAAGCATGGCTATTCATCGTTCCACCAGTGGTTCTCAACCTTGTCTGCATGTTAGAATCACTGGGGAAACTTTTAAAAGTCCCAGTGCCAAAGGCTGCTCTGAACTAAGATCAATTGAAAAGGAATGTCTGTGTAGAATATATATTAGTGTTATTTGAGTTATTCCTGTGTGATTTTTATTTTAGAGAAAGATGTGCTGATAGTATTTCAGTGGGTTTTTTAAAAATTATATTCATAGTTGAAGGAAAGGGTGAATTTTACTAAAAAGTTGGAGAATATATTTTTTAATCCTTTTAAGATTGTCTGATTAAGAGTGCCTGTCATAGACATTTCATTTTAAAGATTATAATTTACTTATATAATGAGCTTTTTTCCTAGGAAGACATGATTGCAAGTTTACTATTTAACCCTAATATATTTAAAAAGTTAATTACATAGACTTAAAAATTTMTTTTAAAAGGCTAATTATTAAACTTTTTCAGTTATAATAAATAACTCATGCATAATTGATATAATTTAATATTTTAAAGATTCATTTCCCTTTTAATATTGTATTATAAATGTTCAAACACACAGAAACCTTGAAAAAGTTTATGATGAATACCCATATATCCACTATTTAGATTCTACACTTAACATTTACTGTACTTACTTTATTATATATCTTTACATTTATTCATCACTCTATCCATTCATGAAGCCATCTGATTTTTAGTGCCTTGCAAAATAATTTGCTAGTATTAGAACACTTTTTCTAAAATACATCAGCATGCAAACCTTTTACTTTGTACAATTTGAAAACAATGAAATGCACAAATCTGAAGTATACTATCAATCCAGTAAATGGACACACCTGTGCCGTCCATATTCAAAATGCAGTACGTTCCATCCCAGGGTCTTATCCCTTCTAGTAAATCACCATTATTTTGATATTTTTCCTATAGCTTAATTATGCCTGTTCCAAACTTCGTATAAACAGTAGCAGATAGTATATATTCTTCATATGTAGGCTTATTTCACCCAGCATAGTTTTGAAATTTACCCATGTTATGACATATATTAATAATTTGCTCTTTTTATTCCTGAGTGGTACTCTGTCACTTGAATTTACTGGGATTTATTTATCCTTTTTTTCTATTGATGGGCATCTGGATTATTTCTAGTTTTGGGTTTTTGAGAATAAAGCTTTAGTAAGGGTTCTTGGGAACATAGCTGCAAAGAGCTTTCTGGGGGAAGTCTTGTCATGGACATATCTTTTCACTGCTCTTAGACTTGTTAGGTAACAGGATATGGATATGTTCAGTTTTTAAAGACATGCAGTTGCCAGATCTTTCCAAAAGCAGTCGGTGCCATTTTACATGCCCACCAGGAGTATGAGAGCTCAGGTTGCTTTACATAGCTGTGTTTTTGTTTTGTTTCATCTTAATGTTATCTCACAATTTTTGTTCTTACCCTCTCACCCGTTTCTGAACATTTTCTTTGATCCATTTTTCATTTTATTTTTCAGATTGCAAATTGGCCAAAACAGTAAATCTTAAAACAGCATAGTAGTTTTGGTGAGATATGAAACTGTTTGTATTACAAAATGAGTTGCCTTGTTTTATTTTGAAAAAAAAATAGTTTAGATAATTTCCCTGTAAAATACTTATTGAAATATAACTAACTTTAATTTTACTTACATTATTCCTTATCATTTATGGTATGTGTGTTTATGAAATCTGATAATGGTTTTTAGGATTTAAAATGCACTTTTTCTATAAATACCAAGTTATCTCTAGTTTGAGGATTGTTTCCTTTTTTTTTTGATGTTATTTTCTCTCGCGTGCTTTTTTTTTTCTCCTGTTATTGGCTCATTTCTTATTTTGAAGTATCTTATTTTCTGTTCTAAATGCAGTTAGAGGGGCTGAGGTTGTGGCTTAGTGGTAGAGCACTTGCTTAGCACGTGTAAGGCACTGGGTTTGATCTCYAGCACCACATAAAAAACTAAGTAAACAAAGGTATTGTGTCCATCTACAACTAAAAATATTTTTTTTAAAACTACAGTTAGAATTTTATTTGTAGCTGCATGTAAGAGAAATGGACATTTGGAAATACTTTCAAATAAAATATTATGAATACATTTTATGGGGAGAATGAGAAAGGAAAAGACTGCTATACTTATTTAAAAACTAGTTACTTGGGAAGTTAGTTTTCTGATTGCTGGATTCTTTCTTCCAAATCTGTAGGTATGATAGACCAGAAAAGACATTCTACCCTTAGTGTCTTAAAAATTATTTTCAGACATTAAGCTCTAGTTCCTACTCTTACTTTTTTTCTTTTGTGTGAAAGAGTTGAACTCAGCTTGATGAAACTGAGCCATGAATTCATCTAACTATAAACAYTGATAGAAGTGATGACATGGAATTTGTTTTCCTTAAGCACCAGGGGTAAGATACATGTGTAAGGAGTGGCTACTTTCTTTCTCTTACACAGGTTATGTCTTATTCTTGCATTGTTGGCTTATGTCACATTGGCCTAGTACATTTATACTATTATAATTATGTTTCGCTTATTTGAAAGAGTAACTGCACCCTTTAATTCTTTTCAAATCATTTTACTTTTTATATAAAAAATGCTTAGAAAATAGTTGTGTCTTTTAAACATATCACATTATTTTATAAGTGACTTTGACTTTATTTAAAGGCTGGGCATGGTGGCGCACACCTGTTATCCTAGTGACTCAAGAGACCCAGACAGAATTGCAAGTTCAAGGCCAGCTTCACCAAACTTGGTGAAACCCTATTTCAAATAAAAAGGAGCAGGGATACAGCTTAGTGGTAAAGTGACCCTGAGCACAATCCATAATACTACCAAAGGAGTGGGAGGGGGGAGTAAAAATAAAAACTTTTAAAAAATTGGTGGTGGCTTTTACTGAAAATTTATTTAGGCTAACTCCCACAAAGGATTAATATCTTAAACACAAAACTCAGATGAACTAAAAGTTAAATCATGGTTATCTGAATTCTTGAAAAATATGTTAAACCTTTTTTGTACATTTTGCCTAATTAGAACTGCAAAGGTATTTCTTAATGATAAAGGTTGATAGTTTTATAATAAAATGACAATACTGTACTGGACTTCATTTTGTAGCACAAATATTTTCATATCGACATATAGACACTATGCTCAATACACTAGATATATAGTATACATTAATAAAGTTGTTCATATGTTAGTAATTACTATGCTATATGTATAATATGTCATAAAAATATGGGTTTAAAAAATTTATTTCTCTATAAAGGATGTAATCTATTGACAGAAAAAGAATCCTGTTAATGCTAGTGGAGATAAAGAGATGTAATACAGGGAGAGTTGTTTTGTTTGTTGGAGTCCACCTTCTAGCTGAAATGAAACAGAGCTTAAAATTTCTAAATTGAGGTATTTTGAGGGAAAGATTATTTCCTATTGGTAGAGTGCCATATAACTTATTCAGCTTTCATCTTTACACAGGGCTCCTTAATAAGCATTCATAGTCAGTTTTTGGCAGCATTAGAATCACTGAAGGCATTCTGGGATGTTATGGATGAAGTTGATGAGAAGACCTGGGTACTTGAGCCAGAAAAACCTACCCGGAGCGCAACAACACGCAGAATTGCATTAGGTAGGGAAAAAGATGATTAGGTTTTATTTTCAGGTGTTTAAAATTATATTTATTGGAACTTTTCTATAACAGAATTGACCAGAATCCCAACTTACTTACATTAGCAATTGCCTGTTTTTTTTTTTAATAAACTTGAGATCCATGAATCTTTACTGATGATCATGATTTCAAAATTACCTTTTAATAAAACATTTTGTTAATCTTTACTTGAGTGGGTATACAGTAAAATTGGCAGTCAGACTGACATGTCTTTGTTGGCTTGATGAACTGTTACACTTGTGAAAACTTTAATCTTCTTTTGTTCTAGGAAATAATGCTTCCATAAATATAGAAGTGGACCCCAGGCATCCTACTATGCTTCCTGAATGCTGCTTTCTTGGAGCTGACCATGGTATCAGAACTCAGACATATTTTTAACAGAATCATAAAGTTCTTGGTTACCACTGTTAAATATAATTCTGAATTAGAAATAGTAATTACTGGGGCTGGGGATGTGGCTCAAGCGGTAGCGCGCTCGCCTGGCATGCGTGCGGCCCGGGTTCCATCCCCAGCACCACATACAAAACAAAGATGTTGTGTCCGCCGATAACTAAAAAATAAATATTAAAAAAAAAGAAATAGTAATTACTTTAAATGAAAATTTCTCATTGTGAATTATATACTTTTAATTAACACAATGCGTTATGATTTAGGTTTTCAAGTCAAATAATTCAGAATTTTACTTTCTGTATCAAATGTGGCTGTATAAAATGAGAGAAAACCCTAAATTATTTAACTTTTTTTTGTTGTTTTAATATCTAAAGTGGTGAAACCCYTGGGAATTAAGCTGAGCAGGAACATACATTTGTGGTAAGTATCTTGGCAATATATTAATTTGTCTATGATTTCACAAATTTTATAGCAAATATATGAATGTATATGTATGTATATATGTTTTTTTTTCATGCTTTTAGGGATCCAGAAAACAGTCTATTACAAAATTTGAAAGATGTTTTAGAAATTGATTTTCCAGCTCGTGGTATCCTGGAAAAATCTGTAAGTTTTATCAGTGCTTTGATATTCCACATTGTGTTGCATAATTAAATTTAAATGCTTCTCTCAGAAAAATGAGGCTAAAAGGGAGGGAATTAGAATAATGTTCTAACACAGACCTCTGAACTACAAATTTTTATATCAAAGAACTTGTTAACCTTTGGTGGTTTTAAATGTACTTTTTTTCATGGTCTTCAGCAGCAGAGTGATTGACAGACGTTTATCATTAGAAATTAAGGGAAAAGTCCAAAATAGCTAATGAGATGTTTGGATCTTCTATATTATCTACTTATGGCTAACTGAAGTATAGTTTCACTTACCTTGATGTGTTTTTGAAGAATGACAGTATTTTTTTTTTAAATGAAACTACGATTGCAAAGATAAAGAATTGATGTTCACATAGCTACTAAGGTTGTAGAATACTAAGTGGTGGTGATGTTTTCTTCTTCTTGTAGTTATATAAATTTTTGAAGCTTAGTTAGTAATTACTAGATCATGTCAGTTCCCTTCTTTACATACTATATAGACATATTCATGCATATGGATGAAATCCCTAAAGCCCCAAAATGAAATTTGGTACATCTGTGTATATTTGAATGAAAAAGGAAATACTATAAAAAGTACCTTCRCTAGGTGTTTAATATGGCAAGTTACTTTTATAAAAATGATATAAAATTTAATATTGTGTATGTACTGTTTTTCCCTAATCTTACATTATGCATTTTGAAGAAATATGCATATAAATATTTTTCTTTTGAAGGATTTTACTATGGATTGTGGAATTTGTTATGCCTATAAACTTGATGGTACCATTCCTGATCAAGTGTGTGGTAATCTCCAGTGTGGACAGCCTTTTCATCAAATATGCTTATATGAGGTAAAACTAAAAAATAATGGCAAGACTTTTTTTTCCAGCTAATACAGCATAGAAAATATGCATATTTGAAATACATGAACAAATTTGTTTATTCAGTTGTGATCCCCTTTTGCCTTAATTTCTTTTACCAGTTTATTCAGCTGCTTGTGTATTTTCATTTCTTTATCATAATTACTAGTAAATGAAGAGATGCTTAAAGTATCCAAGAAGGGAGAAAAATCTATCCAGAATATATTTGCAGACTGTTTTTTGCATAACAGATTAAGTTGGTGGTACATTATCCCAGTGCAAGCTCGGTAGATTGATTCTGGTGGCAGCACTGAGGTGAGGGAATTAACATAGGGTACAGTACGTTATTTTTCAGGCTGAATTTAACCATAGAAGAAATGCAACAATCACACTTTTCTGGTTAAAGATAGCATTCAGAACTATATACACCATACCAATAGACTTCAGATACAAACATCAATTTATATCACATAAATATCAGGTGTGATTATAGAACGCTAAGGGAACATGTACTTTTGTAATACGAAATTTAACTTCAACAAACTATTCCACGTTGATCTCCTCTTGTTATTCAACTTAATAATACTCTGGTATTATTTGGCTCAAGAAATGTGTCTCCCCCTACCCAATCCCTAGTGGTGCTTGGAACTGAACCAAGGGCTGAAAATGTATTTCTTACTCTAATAATTAAACAATTAGTAAGGTTAACCATCTGGAATCATGCTTTTTTTTCCTCTTTTTTAAATCTCCAGTGGTTGAGAGGACTACTCACTAGTAGACAGAGTTTTAATATCATCTTTGGTGAATGTCCATACTGTAGTAAGGTAAGCAAAGTGTTTATCACAATTCATAATATGTGCCTTTTATTAATGTTATAAAAGACACCTATAGAGAATATCAGCTTATCTGAAATTTTTTGAAACACATTCTCTATTTACCTAGTGAGAAAAGTTTTCTCTAAGAACTCCTTTTCTATATTTCCTCAATTACTTGAAACTTTAGAAAATGATGTCCCAAACTGTATATTGATATTATTTCTAGCATAAAGAATTTTAGTGTTCACGAACTTTAAAAACATATATATATTTTTTTTTTAGCCAATTACCTTGAAAATGTCTGGAAGGAAACCCTGAAATAAGCATTTCTATGAAGAAGTAGAAACTTTATTAAAAGGATTTTATTTGACATCTTCAGAGAATACATAAAGCAAGACATACTAATATCAAAAGGAAAACTATGATGAAGCCATAATAATATACATCTGCCTTTGCCTCTTCACTAAGAATAAACTGGGAAATTGTAGGCCAGAATCCTGTAGARCTTTCTAAGTCTGTGACCCCTGTACCAATTGGGGAAGTATGTGTGTACCAAGGAGGAGACCTTGACTTGCTGATTACATCTGAATTGGTAAAATCTTGATAGGGCTCATAAAATGAATTTGGGAACTGCACATAGCTAGATTTTGGGGGAAAACTGTTTATTTCATTCAGAAGTTCTGAAGACTCACAATATTTTTGTCTTCTCTTTCTGCCTTCCTATGGAAAAAAATACATATATAGTTTGTTAGATTTTTTTGTCTTTTGAATATTCTGTATGAATGCTAAATAAAATTTAATCAAATCAGAGTCATTGGATGGTTTTTTTAAAACAAATAGACCATTTCATTAAATAGTGTACAATTAAAAACAAAATATGAAAAAAACAATTCTCTGGGCAAGATGGTCAAGCTTTTGGCCACTAGTCTCAACCTTGCATATCTTGGCAAGTCAAATGATTCCTGCTTTATTTACTGAGTAAAGGATGAGGCTGTATACACACCAGGAAAAATTCACAGTGGATGATGTGTCACAATTGTTGCAAAGTTGTGAAGCCCAAACAGGACAGAATGAATAGATACTAAATTAACCGGTTAGTTAAATACACATTTCAGAAGTTGCTTCAATGTTTTCACCATCATTCATGTGGATCAGAGCCTCAGGAATCAGTTTTTTCCTCACTACTTAACTGGCTGAAAGTCAGGAGTTGTTCTGTTTCTTCTTCACTTTGGTAATCCTTGGATTGCCCTCTCCTTATTCAATTTATTAAACAAAGCAGAAACACCTTAGTCTTCTTGTTATTTTCATTCAGAAACATCTGCAACACCATCATTCTTCAGTATAARCTCAATTTCTAAATTGTCACCCTTCAAAAATTCTCCCCCACCCCAAAAAAGTCACTTTCAGGATCGAGTTTTAGAAGGTAAGAAAGGATTTCTATATAATTCACAAGAAATTTAGCTTTCCTATTAAAAATAAACAAACTAGTTGAGAAATAAAGCTAACAAAGTTACACTAATGCAGTTTTCCTAAGTCTTGTTGACTTCATTCACTAGAGGTAAGATAAGTAAGTAGTATTCTAGTACATTGTAAATCATTCTTAAAGAACTGTGCCTTCAAATCATAATTCTAAGGGCTGAGAATCACTGATTAGTTAAGCAGCATTTATATATAATTTACATGTGAAAGAAATATTTCCATATAGTTAGAAATCAAGCTACTAAAATTTTAAGAACCATCTATTGTGTAAACTATAGCACTCATTTTCTCATTCAGCACCAACAATTGACATCAAATGGGAAAGTACTYTTATAAGAGTATTTGGTCTCTGAGGTCTGACTGGGAAAGATAGTTTATAATASAAGTTGGCAATAATTGCCATCTGAATTTTTTTAATAGGTTTACTGGAACACAACTTTGTCCATTTTTTACGATATTATTTTTGGCTGCTTTTGCACATACAGTTGAATAGTTCAAGACAAAAACATTTAACAATTTCTAGAAACATTTTGGGTTGCCACAACAGGGAGGGGATACTTTTGACATCTGGGAAATACTAGGAATGTTGCTAAACATCCTACAACATAAAGAACAGCCACCCCACAAAAAATAATCCAGTCCCCAAAGTCAATGATGCTGTCAAGAAAGCCTTCATTACAGCAGTTATTAGGCTTGAATGCACATTAAAAACAACTGGGGAGCTTGGAAAATATAAATGCCACTTCTCTGGCCATGAGTAATGGGTATCAGGCTCTTCTGCCATAAAAACCCATGATAAAAAATGATAAAGTCAGAAGAAAAATATAAAGCCATTAGGAGGCATCTAAAACTAACAAGGAACAGAAAATCCAGACTTCAAAAAGTCCACAATTTAAGTTACACTTACTCTAGATCAGGCCACAAAAGCCTAAAGCAAAGTTATGACAAGATCAAGTTGAACGATCAGTACATTAACTGCTAGAATAAGCCCAAAACTCTTTAAAGGAATGCTGTAAATTCTGACCATAGCATCCACAGTGCTCAGTATACAAAAATACTTCACTACATATAGGATGTATGAAAATGTAAACCATAACCAGGCAAGAAAAGAACTCAGATGTCTCAGTTCAGACAACTATCAAACAAAGACCGCAGAACAGCTACATAAATATGTTCAAGGACATCAAGGAAAAATTAAACATGGTGGACAGGTAAACATTAGCAAAAATATGAAAAATATTTCATAAAATGTAGAAAAGGAAAAATGCCCTAGATTTAATAGCTGATTTTACAGTTAAGTATAGAAGTCAGGCAAAAGAAAACATCCAAAGAAGATAAAATGTTTAAAATATAAAGTGTCTCAATTTTATGTGAAAAAGGTGAAGTATTCTAATATACATGTCTTTGGATCATGGAGGAGGAGGGATTAAGGCATGAAACAAACTGATGTCATAGATGAACACTTTTCTAATTTCATGACTGCTACCAACCCATAGATAAAAGCTCAATAAATCCCAAACACAACAAAGATCACCATGCCTAGGAAAGTCAAAGATTAAAAGGAGATCTTCAAAGCAGCCAGAGATATTTTTTAGCTTTTTGTCACTGTGACAAAATATCTGAGAATCAAAAGATAAAAGGCTTTATTTTAGGTCATGGTTTAAAGATTTCTGTTTATGGCCACTTGGCCCTATTGCCATTGGGTCTGTGGCAAGATAGTACTTTATATTAGGAATACATAATGAAGGAAGCTACTCACCAGAGTGGCCAGAAAGTGAGAGGAAGGGGCAGAAGTCCCAATATCCCCTCTCAGGGGGATGCTCTAAGTAACCAAACTTTCCCACTAGGCCTTAGCTCTTAAAGGTTCTACCACCTCTTAACAGCATTATGGCCTGGGGACCAAACCTTCAACATATGGGTCTTGGGGGAATGCCAAGATCTAAAATACAGCAGTCTACCTCTGCCCCTGAATATTCATGTCTATCTCACAATGAAAAATGCATTTAATCCATATCCAAGTGTCTACAAAATTTTAAAAGTTCCAGCATTTCTCAATTGTCCAATTCCAAAAATCTCAAAAGAGTCAAAGCATATTTATCTGTGAGCCCCTGTAAAATATAAAAAAGTCACCCATGGCACAAGATAAAGATTATCATTCCATAAGTTTGGAATAGGAAAATCATGAGGAGCACTACGAAATCAAGATTGAAATCCAGGATGGCAAACATTAAATCCTACAGCTCCAATTTCAGCATCTGGGGCACACAGTGGTAGAATATGGACTCCCAATGGCTTGGGTAGCCCCACCCCCCATCACATTGCTGGCTGCAGCCCACATGGCCACTGTCTTTGGCTAGCTCTGCTCACTGCTTGCAGCCTCCCTTGGCAGATATTCCACATGCTGGTCTAACTTTCTGTGGTCCTTGGTGTGGCTTTGGCTTCACTCTTATAGCTTCACACATCACCCTGACAGGAGATGCCTGCAGGGTCTCTGRCCCTGTCCCACACTGCCTGGCCTTCCAGGCTTTCCTCTGAAATCTTGGTGTAAATCCTCCATGATACCCGACGAATGCATGCAATACCATCATCACATGGGTGATGGTGGGGTCTGCTGCTGACATGAGCTGTGCTGGATCCCACTGGAATCATGGCTGCAATGGCCTCTGAGTGCCTTGCTGGCTGGAATGAATCCCATGGTCCCGGATAGATGGGGTGGGGGCTATCTTCTTAACCACAAGTCTTTAAATTTACACTTTTGAATCTGAGGTCTATGGAGTGTTCCTGATTCACAAGATGCTGTCAAAGCACCTTTCCTGTTGTCCCAGTACAAAGTACATGACTTCTTTTTAGTGAAACTAATCTTTTTAGCAGCTGCACCCTTGTTGGAAGCACTAATATGCTACCTCTCTGGTTAAACTGCAAGTTTTCCAAATTTTTCTGCTGTGCTCCTCTTTGCTCTTGATTCTCTTGGTGAATTTGTCTAAAACAATATCCATGCTGTTGCCTGAATGCTGAGCCAGAGAAACTAGTTTGTCATCTTTAAATTCAGTCTTGTACAAAGTATCAGGGCATGGACATGATGTTTTTAAATTCTTTGGTACAGTATAAGACAGCCTGTAGTTTAATGGCTAATAGAGTCCTCATTTCCATCTGAAACCAAGCAGTCTTTGCTATCATCGTTTCTATCAGCATTCTGGTCTTCTGAGCACTCATCGATATCACCCATTAAATTTGGCTCATAGCATTCTAGACTTTCTCTAGCCCACTTTTTYCCAAACTCTTCCAGGAAACCAATAGTTAAGACTTCTCCACATCATCTGATGTATAGTCACAGCAACAATGCTTCTGATTAGTACCAATTTCCTAAGGTAGCTTTCCATCATTGTATTCTCTTCAATTTCTCTCTAATGTTTTATGGTTTTTGTTGTGTAGATCTTTCTCCCTTTTTGTTGAATTTATTCCACAGTATTTAATTTTTTGTAGCTACTGTAAATTGGATTTCTTTCTCAAATAACTGGCTATTGGCATACAGCAATGCTCTTGATTTTTATATACTGAGTTTTTTTTTTATCCTACAACTTTGCTGAATTCATTTATTTTGAATAATTTTTGGTGGAGTCTTTAGTGTTTTCTACATGTAAGATCATGGCATCTATAAAAAGTGACAACTGGCCTTCCTCCTTTCCGGTTTTGTGCCCTATATTTCTTTCTCTTATCTGGTTGCTCACACTGAGACTTCCAGTATTGTGTTGAATAAAAATGGTGATTTATATGACATGCTCAAAATTACTAAACTATACATATGTAGAAAAAATAATACTATCCAGGATTAAGAATGAGGAAAGGATGTCACTACAAGGCACCACAAAGGATTTGTGGTCACAGAACAGTTTTGTAGGATGATTATGTTGTTTATTCCAGACATGTAATAAAAAAGTTGCACTTCAGTGAACATAAAAATTGGTGATGTCTGGTAGAAAATAAAGTGATGATATCGGAATTGTGTCTATTCAGTAAGTACACTGATATAAATTATATATAGTAATAATATGTATTATTATAGTAATATTCCTATGTCAATTTCCTGGTTTTGAAAATTATACCATGGTTATATAAAATGTTTTCATTGGGGGAAGTTGGGTTAAGGGTGATCTCTAGATCATTTCTGCAATTTCTGAATCTATAATCACTTCAGGATAAAATAAAAATATGCTTATGTTTTCTTCATTGCACAGCTAAGGATCAAAATACTTTTAAATGCAGAAATGAAATATAAATCCAGCTTTCCCTCCACCATAAAAAGTAAAATTAAAGTAAAGATA